TTGCTTGTAACAATAAAAGTACTGTGTTACAAAGAAAAATCATTTATCATTTGCTTACTTACTTTGTATCAGAAAACTAATTTTTTCTAAAACATTATCGGTCAAATAAGGACATCAGAGCATAAGAAACGTTTTTTTTTATACTGTGTTACCATAAATTTTATTATCGTTTTTCTTCCTCGCAATTTTAAAAAGTGTTTAAGGAATGATAAATTCATCTTTAACATGCAAATATATATGGCTACTTAAACAGTTGTTAATGGGCAAGAAAAGCGAAATTATTCATATTGTGTGTAAAGTGAATATTTTTCCTTTTGAAAATTAAGAAATTTATGGGCAATATATATCATGATTTTGAGTGATATTGCCCCCTTATAATAACTCTACAATACTAAAAGAAGTACATTATACCGCCCTGTACAGTTATCATTCATTCTCAAGATAGTTTTATATCCACCGATACATCAAACTTTGAAATACAATGTCACACAATTTAGATATTTCAACACCTCTCAATTGTTTGATTTTCAACAACATTTGAAAAGATATGTTAAAAATCTTACATCTAACTGCACCAAAAGAAAGAATAATTTTTTTAAATGATATGGTAATGACACAAAGTTTTTAATTACTTAACCGGTGCATTACCCTCTAGTAACAATGATGCAATTGGCTAAGGGTGCCGTAACTAACTACCATACAATATTGTCCGAGTTTTAAATCAAACTCTTCTTTTTTTAAATGCATTAGCATTTCATTATCAAATCATTAAATTGGACGATTTAGATTCTAACAATAGACTGCATCAACCCTGACCTAAGTAAACAAGTAGCGTGTTGTTTCCATTTATCGCCCCCGGGGCGTTGCAAAAACGGAAACGGAGGGCGTTAATTAGAAGCACATTTGCATAGCATGAAAACTAATTTTATGTTTAAAAATTATCTAAAAATCTCCGACTATTTTCGTCCTATAAACCCCTTGTTCACGTACGATAAATAAGCAGAACAAAATTATTGTAGACAATACGGTAGTCCGCTGACCGAGATAAACTTGTCAAGTACATGTATAAATAGTTATTGCTCTGGCGGGTAATTATGACGTAACACGCATCAGTTTACCTGTGTTTTTAAACACAATGGAAGGTTGCACTTCAGGGCGAGGCCAGAAAAAGAAAACATACACAAATGCATTTAAAATGAAAGTAATCGGCATAGCGGAAGTAAAAAGGAAAGCACCATGCAGCCAAATTATTTGGAGTCGACAGAGTACGCGAATGGTGTCAATTAAAAAACACATTGATAAATGCACCCAAATCGCAGAAACGCGCCCCTGGTGCCGGTAGGCCGATAAAATATAAAGACATAGAAAATAGTTTGTTGCAGTGGTTCCAGGACCGTCGGGCTGCAGGTGTACGGGTCACTGGTAAATAGTTAAAATACGAGGCTATGCGACTTCATAAACTTAACGGAAATCAGTCGTTCAAAGCGTCACAGGGCTGGTTTGCCAAGTTCAAGAAACGTCATGATATCACATTCCGTAGAACGACACATGTTAGCCAACATGCCGAGGAAATAACCAGTAATCGTGTAGACAGTTTCATGCGATTTGTATTGAGAATGCGTACTTTGCGCCAGTACGATGACAGAGATATTTTAAATATGGACGAAACGCCAGTTTGGCTAGAAATGCCGGGAAAGTCTACTTTAAACATGAAAGGCGCTAGCAAAGTAAATGTTGCATCCACAGGCCACGAAAAAGAGCGTGTTACAGTTACTTTGGCTGCCTATGCAGATGGAACAAAATTGTCACCTCTTGTTCATCTTCCAGGGTCCCGCGAGTTACCAAAGAAGGACGTTCCTTCAGGAATAATTGTGTACATGTGTGGTACAGGGAAGAAATCTTGGGCTGATGAAACTACTAGTATCAAATTTTGGCTGAGCAGACTGTACGGAAGAAATAACAGCCGGCGTTGGTTACTCGTATGGGATGCATTTCGTGCGCACAAAACGGAGAACATTAAGACGGCAGTTAAAACAATTTACAACAGTGATATGTGTGTTATTCCCGGTGGTTGTACATCTAAGCTTCAGCCGGCGGATGTATCTTGGAATAAGCCATTTAAAAATAAAATCTCGGAACTTTATGACGAATGGCTGTTTAGCGGTCCTGTGGAGACAACCCGTTACGGAAACAGGAAATGTCTATCGAAACCATTACTTCTTCAGTGGATCAAAGAGGCATGGGCTTCTATTACACCGCAGATCGTTATCAAGTCTTTCAAAAAGTGTGGGATAACTAATAACCTGGATGGTTCCGAGGATCATCTCTTTCATGCCAATTCCGACAACGAGGCTGAGGACATTAACGATGTTCCGTTTGACGGATTCAGTCAAGAAGACATCGAAATTAGTGAACAGGTGTTGCATAATGTCAGTGGAAATTTGATTCTGTCGGACAGCAGTAATTCGAGCTCGGATACGGACAGCACTGATTCTAAGAGCAGCGGACATTAAGTACACACATTGTATCGTAAAAGTGTGTTGAACATTAACAGTTAGATCGGTCAGATCTTAGTAAAGTTGAACGTTATTTGGAAGTTACAACAGTTAGTTTTTTTCTGTTTATTTTTTAAATACACTTTGGATATTAAAATTTTCAAGTCCGGTAAGATTTTCTTTTCATTTTGCACCCAGAGGGCGCTAATTAGAAGGGGGGCTATAAATAGAAACAATACGGTATCTGTTCAACAGTATAGCTGGATTCCCATCTTGATGACCTCCAAAGGGGACCTGTTGGCCTAGTGGGTAAGTGTCCCACTTTTCACCCATAACCTTGTCCCTCATTATGACACTAACTCAAGTGAGCTTCAAATTAGCTTCATTTCAAAATCAAACTTAAACAAATACAGTCAAACTTGCCATAGCGACTCACTGATTTAAATGACTTCCTGTCGTATACGACCTTATTTTAGACCGCCCAACGTAAATCACTATATAAAGTCACTGAATTAAACGACTCCCTGTCTGACGCGACTAACGACCTTAAATTTAGCGTCCTGTTACATTTCTATGACCGAATTAAACGACTTTTTCATTTTCACAAGAATTATGTTTTTCACACTTCTCGCTTTCAATTGACATTTGTCCGTCGAATTTGAGCGCCATAGTCTCGAATGTTTATCACCATTGCAAAAGGTGTTAATTGATAATTACGAAGCTATTAGTCATTATAACTGTCCAAGTTTAAAAATAAATAATCTCATGATAACATCTACTTGACCAAACAGTAAATTACAACCGTCCGATAACGTGCGGATAGAAACTGATAGAACGTGCGGATAGAAACATGTACAAACATCCGTGCACTTCAGATCATACAAATATGGCTGACAAAGCACGTAAAAAAGAGTTGTCCTGACTCTTGAAGAAAAAATTCAGGCAATCAAAAAGCTTGATGCCGGCACCCCAGTCTACAAAATTGCCGAGGAAATGGGCGTCGGCAAAACCCAGATACAGACGCTCTGGAAGTGAAAGGCCGACATTTTGAGTGACTTTGAAAACAACATGCCCAATTCTTCAAAACGTCGTCGTTATCTCATAGGTATTTTTTTTTGTTATTCGCTCTCATCGTATTTTTTCACTAAATTGATAGGAAAAATAAAGCAAAGATTTACAAGACAACAATGCCTGTTTATACACTACACCCCCCAAACTTAAACTTCTAACTGTCTGAACTTTGCATGTATGAGCAGAAAATTCATTCCTCCTTCTTTTTCCAGGGAATGAAGAAGTCAACGACCCTTACATTGGCATGGTGTCGTGATGTCGGGAAGAAACATCAACCTTACAGGTCCAATGATACAGACAAAATCAATTGAATTTGCCCAACAGCTGGGAAAGACTGAATTTAAGGCCTCAAATGGTTGGCTTGACTCTTTAAAATTAAGAAACAGTATATCATATGGGACCATGAGTGGCGAAAGAGGAGATGTGAATGTTAAAACTGCGTGGAAGACTGGAAATCAAAATTAAAAACTCTTCTTTTAAAATTTTATATCTATAATACATTGTATTTGTATAATTATGCATGTAAACATTTTTATTTTTAAAAACATTTTAACTATAATAAAGTATTTAAATAAAAATTATCTTATATCTTCAACAAACCATATTTAAATACTACATATATGTAACACAAAGAAAACACAATCAAAGAAAAGACAAACAAGTAAAGATAGCATTTTGAAACAACTGATGATTTTTTGGGGAACCTGGATTAAAAGACTCCCTGTCATATGTGACCTTTTTGATATGGTCCCATGGAAAGTCACATATGACAAGTTTTACTGCACATAATTATGTGTGTTTAAAATAACCTCAATGAATCATTTTATTTTGGAATTGCTGGAAAGGTGATTTATTTGGGACTTGAACATCCGGAAGCCCAGCTACAAGGTGGTCTTGTCATCCCATAACAAAATCTATCTTATAGATATTTCACTTTTAATATGATGTGACATATGAATCCAATTTACCTTAAAATAAGGCTTTATTCTTGATGAAAATAAAACATCTAAACTTACAGGGGACCAAGTTTTCATTTCTTTTCCTCTTTTTTTCAGAGTTGAGTGTTCACACATAAAAGATGGAAGATGGTTATCTATATATGTTATAAAGAACAACTGTAGGGTGTCAGATGTAAATTGTAAAGAAATGGAGACACAATTATAAGATAAAGATGTGACTAGATTCAATTATGAAGAAAGGACCTGTCAATCAAACATTACAAGGGATCATTACAAAAAATGTTTCTTTTACAGAAAAACAGCTTGATTTATTCAGTAAGAAAAAGAGGATATAATTTATTACTGACTATCAAAAGTGTTGACTATGGGTCCACAAGTCACAAAGGGATGTAAATGTCATTACAACCTGTCTGAATAATTTCACTGTAAGATTGAAGATCAACAGAAAGATAATGATGTAATTTGAATACATTACAACAGTGATGTCTCCACTATAACTCCAAGTGATCTTATGTGATTTATTCACCCCAGCCCTTTGCAAAGCTTCACTTCTGAAAATATACCAAATGTAACCACTATATAACCTTTGTAAAGTGTTATAATCCAATCATATGTCATGAAGAGTTACTCCCCCTCATTAACCATGCATTGTTACTTTCCAAATTTGATCTTTTTGCAGCAATATATTGATTGAAATCCTCTAATGAGTTCTTAATATCACTCAATGAATGCACAATACCTCATGTATACAGTTCTTAAATCCTCTATAGTTTTATAAGCAACTATTGTCCCTCCTATCTGCAGTTTCCAATTTCTATCCCATCCTTTGTTACATAGATATAAACAATTATCTTCTTCCCTTCAATCATCCTTATCAACTCATGTAATGTTACATCTTCACATGATCTTCCTCCCTCCAGACCATAAGTTTTATAAATGTGATATTTTGCATCATTGTAAAATATGAACTTCAAAATTATGATTGCACAATTTTCTTCATTAAATTAGTAAACAATAGTATGTATTGTCTTAAACTCTTTTATAATGTGATGCTCACAAATTAACTTTTAATGCAAATATTCTAAAATAACATATCAGGCTAGGTGTTTATTCAAAATTTACAATTTGGAACTAAAAATGTTGGTGATATTTTAAATCATGCTTGAACAGAAACGCAGTTAACTAATGACTTTTGAAAACACATTATTATGTTGACTTGGGGATTTGAGACAGGGGTAAAAATGGCTCACATCTCATGCAACTTGGTATGACGCCAAACCAGCCTGCCAATCTGTGGTATCTGAGCATTCCCCCCCAATAAAGTAACACACTGTAGCCTGCTTATATAACCTCAACAATTTCGTATAGAAATCCTTCAAATTTACAATCAACTATTCAAAATTTCAAGTGTGTCAATGTCGGAGCATTATCCAAATGTAGCATGATAAAAGTCATAAAACAATACTTAAGATTAATGGTATTCTTAATCTATTACCATATAACAATATAACACAGTAGTGAATGGAATGTTATATTAAACCATCTGTCATTTTAACATCAGGTCAACAAACTCATTAAGCTATACAAATGACTGTGACAGGGCCACCAATACTATATCAGGATCCACTTATCTAACCCAGTCTATAACTTTTAAATTTATGACTTACGCCACTCTTTAAAATCAACTTGACAACAGTTGAAAAATTGCTGCTAATAAAGGAATTACAGCCTTCAGAAGACATTGACCTTTAACCTATTAAATTATATGTGATGGACTTGTCCGGTTTTAAAATTCAGACCAGTCCATTATTAGATATAAGTGATTTTAATATTAAAATGCTAAAATCAAGCAGTCATCAGTATTTAGCCTGGTAAGAATGAACATACCTGTGGATAAGACAAATGGTCTGGCCATCACTAAAGATAGTGTAGACTTTGACTTTTAGATGATCGAACTTCTGGTACAAACCCAACTCTATAGAGACATGGTCAAATCCTGGCACATTGCAGTTGATGATCATTCCCCATATCCAGCCTAAAACATAAGAACAATGTATTGACCTTATGGTGAGGAAACTACTGATAGAAGTTAACAACTAGGTTCATTTCACCTGAACTGTCCCCATAGTGGGATAAATATCAACTTACTTTAGGACTTAAGAATATTTTGGATTTTCCCGTCTAATCTGAGGGTACAAACAAACTTTTTCAGTAATAAAACATGCAACAGATTATAAAAGAACAAGCAATTATCATAGTATTGCAAGCAATCCATAAGTCCCCTACCGGAAAGAGCCCAAGCAACATTCTGAAGGGCCATTGGCCATTCACTTATGTTCCTATTTTAAGTAAATTTGTTGAAAAAGTTCTTTAAAAGTGATCACAGGAAACAGTTTTTATGTACAGACAGACGGACTGAAGGACACTCTAAAGTTATTTTTTAAACATCCCTGTTATCAAAATATTACATATTAAAAATCCTATCATGATTGAAGAAGTTGGAGTAAAAATTACCAATTTCTCAAAAAAAAAATCTAAGTTCAAAAGGGGCATAATTCTGGAAATAGTCTTGCTAGAGTATTGAACACTCACAAATGTTGAGTGATAATAAGAAACATTTATATGAAGTTTGAAGTAGATAAATTCAGAAAAAAAAGTTATTTAAAAAAAACAATGTTTTTTCATGAAAATTTTAAGTTCAAGGGAGGTAATTCTGATAAATTTTGTGCTAGAGTTGTAAACCTTGTCACATATGATGTGGTTGATTACAAGCAACTTATATTTAAAGTTTGAAGAAAATACCTTAAGAAATAAAGAAGTTATAGTGATAAAACTTAAAAACTAGAATCAGAAATCTTGAAATTCAGTCTATTTGTTGCCATAGCAACCAGAATTTTCAACATAGGAAGATAAGAAAAGGATGTGCATAATTTCCATACTGCCATATACCCATATGTCAAGTTTCATAAACATATTTTCAGTACTTTTTGTGTTATCACTGGATCCAGGTTATGTGTAAAATTTGCCCTATTTTCAGTCTATTTGTTGCCATAGCAACCAGAATTTTCAACATAGGAAGAAAAGAAAAAGACGTGCATAATCTCCATACTGCCATCTATCCATATATCAAGTTTCATAAAAATATTTTCAGTACTTTTTTGCGTTATTGCGGGATCCAGGTTATGTGTAAAATTTGCCCTATTTTCAGTCTATTTGTTGCCATAGCAACCAGAATTTTCAACATAGGTAGAAAAGAAAAAGACGTGCATAATCTCCATACTGCCATCTATCCATATATCAAGTTTCGTTAAAATATTTTCAGTACTTTTTGTGTTATCGCGGGATCCAGTTTTGTGGACGGACGGACTGACGGACGGACAGACGGACTGACGGACGGACAGACGGACGGAGGGTAAACCTAAAGTCCCCTCCGGTAAACCGGTAGGGGACTAAAAAATTGTTTGTACTAGGGAATAAGCTTTGGAAAAAATCCACATTTGCCAAATTCAAGGTATCTCTTAGGAAAATGCAAAATCTTGGAACTCCTTTACTAGCAATACAATTTTCATGACACTTATCTAATAAGATATCAACCACCTCCTACAAAATAATATTGTGGTCCAGTAGCTGTAATGATGTTCAGTCAATTTTGTTTATATAATTGTATGTGTTAATACAATTGTTGGCAGGAAACTATTTTGGTACATGCTGGACTCTATTATAAAATGTAGGACACTGGAAATTATCTAGTGAGAAACATAATATAATTGCCTGGAAACTGTCAATGATCTAATTCTTCTACATGACTGTTTTATTGACAAAGAAAGTACATTATTGCTGTAATGTTTAATGCAAGCTGCAGCTGTAACTGCATTACAATTAATTAATCCTTGCAGCTTTCCAGTTTATGCTTACTGTTAAAACCTGTACGCGGTCAGGCAATATACTGTGAGGCACTTCATTTACCAGTATAAAAATTTTAATTTACTTAACTTCTTTTGCTATTACTATCTATTGAATCATCACAAAAATGTAACATCCACAAATTGTTTAAAAATAAGAGCAATATTAAAATCTTTTATCAATATTGTTCGTTTTCAGTATAAAATGTGTGTGACTTTTAAATCATGTTTAGAACATAGAAAATTATTGATATTAACTGTATTTATATTTTGGCAATAATGGAGTACACATTACCCTTGTATTTTTCAAAAAATCAAAATCATTACAGGTCAATTTGTAAAAATTGAGCACATTTTCAAAACAGAAGAGGGTAAAAACTTTAAAGCTATGATATTAACAGAAGTAAACCAAATGGAAATGGATAAAATGACACAGTACTTTCAATCACTGATAAATAAATTCACAGGCTGTCAGCAACTAGAAGTTATAATCAGTGATTCCATCAATTTAAAGCAGAAACCACCATCAACATCAGTTTCAGTATCTGTGGTTTTCCAGCAATTTATACCAATTAATATCATTATATAAGAGTGAGAAAGTAAATGTATGTTTGCTGGTGACAAACAACTTTGGGAACCTAAGTTTTGAACCTAAGTTTTCAAAAGATATTGTGTGATATCTTTTTTGGTTCATTTGGAGACTAAAATGATAAACAAGTTATATAGTATGCTGTTTGAAGATCAATTTAAAAGCCAGAAATAAATGAATTATTTACATTATACATATTGCAATAATAAACAGAAAATTACCATGAAAGCTATTAAATTTTGTGTCAAATGGTAAATTTGTCTTGCTTCAGCAAATATAACATTTTTTTGTATGTTATATAATTTATTTCATAAACCTCACATATTGTTTTAATGTAACATGTTGATGCGGTTTTTAATACTTTTGGTTAAAGTTGGTTAATTCGACCTAATTTTAAGACATTTATTATGATGTTTTTTAATCCACCTACATGCTGTTATGTTGTATAACTTGAAGGCTATTAGACACAAAATATGTTAGTAATTAGCATAAAGGTTACGTAACCTTTGCTTAAGAGAGCAGCCTCCTCGAGGATTTTTTTTACATGTTATTTCATCTCGTACTAGCAATATATTTATTTAAAGGTCTTAACTTTATGGGGGTGTTAAAGGTTTTAATACAAAACGCTTATGAGGTTTCTGGGTCACATTTAACTTTCAAATTTTTGCCCTGAACTGAATGACTGCCAGGACTTTTAATGACTGACTGAAATGAATGACTGACATAATTATAGCCAGAAAAATTACAATAATATATTGACATAATTATTAGAAACATTCCCTTCTGTACAGATTATTGTATCAATGATAATAAATCATCAATTACTTAAAAGTCAGTTGCTGATAAGAAATTTAAATTTTCACATATTCTAGAGCAGCTTTTATCATAATTTACTTTTAAAACATTATTTCTACTTTTTTCTGGAGATACATTTCTTAATTCATTTATAATAATAAGTCTGGGTTTAACTTTATTTGTTTATCATGTAACTCATTACTGGCCCCAGAGTATTTATAAACTGTTAACAACACTGTGGGAATGGTACAAGCTTTCCCAAGATCTCAAAGATGTTGCAGTGCAACAACCTGCTTGGGAATTAATTGAAAGCAAACTTCAACCAAGATTTGAACAAACACAGATGCAATGATAAATTAATGTTAAGCATTAACCTATTTTAACAAAGAGCCACTTATATTATATGTAATTTAAATGAAAGTTATTATAGCAAGAAATTTATTCAGTTGTCTGTTTCCTAATTGTAGTGGTTTTGCTTACATTTTGCTAATTGTAAGCTATGGTTTTGCTTACATATTTCCTAATTGTAGTACATAAGTGTTTATATTAACAGTTTTTCGCATATTTTCGGGATTTTTCTACCATATATGAATAAGGTAGGAATCCAAAAATAAAAGGGAAGATTTCAGTAAAAATACATGACATAGATAAAATGATGAGTCTTTTATAGTGACTATGTATCTTTTAAGTTCACAGAGGATGAGAGAACCTATCTCATTCAAAATCCATGTGGGAGTTATGGTTCTTGGAAAATGCCCTTCAGTTGTGATCTCAAATACATGCATATAGTTTCAAGTGATTACTGTTTTAGAAACTGATGTTGCATGCAAGACTTTAACAAAGAACTTTCCTCCAAATGCCCAATAACTCAGTCAGAAACCATGTAAGAGTTATGACCCTTAGACAGTGACCTACATTTATGATCAAGAAGACATGTTTTAAGTTTCAAGTAAAACCTTCAGTGATATTTGAGCCGCGTCATGACAAAACCAACATAGTGGGTTTGTGACCAGCATGGATCCAGACCAGCCTGCGCAGTCTGATCAGGATCCATGCTGTTCCCTATCAGTTTCTCTACTTGTTATAGGGTTTGTAAGCGAACAGCATGGATCCTGATCAGACTGCGCGGATGCACAGGCTGGTCTGGATTCATACTGGTCGCAAACGCACTATGTTGGTTTTGTCGTGACACGGCTCATTTAAGTTTGATGCTGCATGTAACTTTTAACAAGGAATATCATAATTACATGTCCAAGTTCACGAAGGGAAGTTATTCAAAACCATGCTAGAGTTATGGGCCTTGGACAGTGAATTATGATCTCAAAGACATGTGTGACATCACCAGCAAATATCTTTAGAGGTTGATAGAATATGAAGTCACACCCAAGAGTTAGACGAAGAATAGTCCCATTATTCTCGGAATTATCAAGCTAAAAACCAATCAAACAAAACCTTTTACACATCCAAAGGTTAACAAAACAGCTTTATACAATATAATATGCCTCCAATTTTCTGCCATCGGAGAATAATTGTACTTGCGTCATTCTGTGATGAAACAGCAATCCAATCAAGCAGTTCATTAACTAAGCTAATACTAGCAAAATAAAACAGATTCTATTCTTGGACGTTATGTGTTTATCATAATTCCACTCCATTAATTTCCAAGTGTTTATTTCATGTTAAAACTTACAAATCTTAAATTATTAGATATTTGTTTACCTGTTATAGTTGTTTTATATATGTTTGTTTGGTCTCTAACCACAAGTTACCCTTAGCCTGCTGGCAGCAACACGGATTTTACCCATACAACCAGTGCAGACAAATCTGTGCTGTCAGATCATGGTTTACACTGCACACTATTCAGTCAGTATATATTTTGATATATTCCCTAAAAATGATGCATGTTTCAGTTCATATTGAAAGTTGGACACGTACATTTAAGATAATAAA